CATTTTCTAATAGAAGATTCTTCAGGAGAGTGTCAGGCTCATTTTGATTTTGATGACAATGATATAGATGAACCAGTGTTTCTCTTTTCCAGAGAATTACATTTTCCTTTCATTGAGGATCATCCACTCCCAATCCCATTTTTTTCATCTTGTGTGGAAGTATCCCATCTAGAGTCAGAGCTTTTACCCACAAATTATATCGATGAGATTTTAGATAGGGTTGAGACTATCTCCGTGGATACTCCTCCACCTGTTTATCCAATTTTTGAGAAAAAAATGAGTGAGTAGAGTGGATTTGACAATGATTTGGATTGGGACTTTGTTTTTTGTGATGATTTTTTATCTCTGTTTCTAGGGTCTGCTTACAGGATATGCTACTAAAAGACACATGCCCTTGGTTTGAATATATTGCTCTTGTTTTGTTGAAGGATGAATTTTTAACTTACTTTTGTCCACTTTGAATGGGCCAAATAATTTCTACTGAGATGGCCCATATCTCATAAATCATAAGAAGCAGAAAAAGTGGATTTGATAAACTCTAGCATAATAAATTAGTTTAAATTATTATTATTATTATTATTATTATTATTGTCACAACCCACCCTGGTACCTAGGGTTGGATTCATAACTAGTTAAATTCTAAAATTTCTAAGATTGGTTCGAAGTAACTAAATTAAATAATGCAGCAGAATGGAAAAAAAAGATGTAGACAAATATTTGAAGCATACATGAGAATTATTATTTATGTAACATAAGTCAGATAATAATTAAAAATAAACACACGAGAGAGAGAGAGAGAGAGAGAGAGAGAAAAGAAGAAGAAGAAGAAGAAGAAGAAGAAGAAGAAACACGATGTTCATCTCAAATCTGGGTCCTAATTAATGGGGTAAAACCATTCTTCCTTAAGTTTCCTCACATAAAAGGGTTTTAACAGCTATAAACACATAACAGAGTGAGAAATATTATACTAACAGTATAAAGGTATACAAATCACCATGGACAATTATTTAGGCTAAACAATGAATAGTTTGATACAAATAAATTATTTTAAGTAACAGACATATAATACAAAAGTCGTATATGCATAACAGTCATAACTACGGTACATAATATAACAGATGGTCACTGGATCTATGACAAAGTGGTCACAAAATGACTAATCAGAATGGTTATTTAAGTCCCTAAGGCATGGGACCGTAGAGGGTCACTAAAGTGACAATTCAAAGGGTCAATGGTTATTTAAGTCCACCAAGGCATAGGACATCCGTGGTAGTACTTACAAAATAATTATTCAAAAACACATTTAATAAACAATTATATCCATGAGTTTATACTTTTAAGTGAATAAGGTTCATAAAATAAATAAAATAATTGTGATGCTAATAATTCATAAAATAATAAAACAATTTTATGATTACTCAATTTATAATATGACTTACCTTAATATTGACCATTAACATTTACTTTCCTACTATTGATTCCCCCACTACTTGTATGTTGCACCTTAGTTATATTGCTTTTCATAAGCTCAGTAACTCAGTAACTTATTTATAGTTGGTAAACATGCTTCATCCTTTATCACCACTTAACTTGTGGCAAGTTCAAACTTGGACACCTGTCCAACATGTGACACCTTGTCCATTTCCCACATGTCCCTTTAGGTGACTCACTAAAGCTATGCATGCATATTCACCATCCTGGCTAGAGAACCTGCAGGGACTCTTTTTTCTTTTTTTTTTCCCCTATATTTCCATTATTTAGCCTGGGCCCATAGATTAATTTATTTGTTAATAACTAAGTCCAATTTGAGTTCAATTTTAATTTGTATTCTACTACCCACAATTTTATTAAATGTTTAGTTAATATTAACATGGTGATGAAATTAATCAAACAATGAGGTGTCACATTTCTCCCCTCCTAAGAGGAAGTTTGTCCCCAAACTAGTCGTACCTTAATTTTTGAAGAGGTGTGGGTATTTGGCCTACATTTGATTTTCAGTTTCTCATGCTGCTTCTTCAACACAATGATTCTGTCATAAGACTTTTATAAGAGGTATAGTCTTGTTTCGAAGAATCTAATCACGACGATCGAGGATCTATATTGGTTGCTCTTCATAGGAGAGATCATTTTGAACTTCTAGGTCTTCATGATCAATGACATGTTCTGAATCTCGAAGATATTGCCGAAGCATCGACACATGGATTATATAATGAACATTGGACAATTCTGGTGGAAAGGCAAGACGGTGTGTTACAGGACCAATCCTTTCTAGTATTTCAAATGGCCTGATATAACGCGAGTTTAGTTTTTCTCATTTCCCAAGTCAAATGACTTCCCTTGTCGGTGCAACTTTTAAGAAAACATGCTCTCCTACTTGAAATTCCAAACCCCATCTCCATGTATCTGCATAGCTTTTCTGACGGCTTTGGGCAATGCGAATTCGTTGTTGGATGAGTCGAATTTTGTAACTGGTCATTTGCACGATTTCTAGATGTAATAACTTCCTGTCTCCTACCTCTGTCCAACATATAGGCGATCGACAGTTCCTTCCATACAGTGCTTTATATGGTACCATCCCCATACTTGCTTGATAATTATTGTTATAAGCAAATTCTACTAATGGCAGATGCTCGTCCCAATTACCCTTAAGGTCTAATACACATACCCGCAACATGTCCTCCAATATCTGAATCATTCTTTCAGATTGTTCATCAATTTGCGGATGATAAGCGATACTGAACTTTAGTGTAGTTCCCAAAATTGTTTGTAACTTGTTCCAGAATTGAGATACGAAATGAGGGTCTCAATCAGATACAATTGATACCGGGGCGCCATGCAATCGAATGATTTCCTTGATATATATATATATATATATATATAGTGGCAAATTTGTTAAGAGAGTATGTGACTCTAACGGGTAGGAAACGTGTTGATTTCGTTAAGCGATCTACTATGACCCATATCGCATCATTCTTTGAGGTTGATTGTGGTAACCCAATAATGAAATCCATGGTAATGTGTTCCTATTTCCATTCAAGAATAGGGAGTGGTTATAGCAGTCCTGCCTGTCTCTGATGTTCTGCCTTGACTCGTTGACATTGGAAACATTTGGAAATATGGCTTGCTATATCTTTCTTCATTCTCATCCAACAATAATGTTCCTTTAGATTGTGGTACATTTTCGTGTTCCCGGGATGAGATGCGAATCTCAAGCTATGAGCTTCCATCAATATCTTTTTCTTTTAGTTTTAGAATATCAGGTACACAAATTCGGTTTCAAAATTTTAATACCCCATTGTTTACAAAAAAAATGGTGTTGGGCATACTTCCTTGGTCATCGTATCTTTTCTTCAAAAGTTTGTCCTCACATTGGCATGTTCTAATTTCTTCAATCAGTGTGGGTTTCAAAATTATGTTGGAGAGCAGTCCATTGATCTTGCGGGAGATAAGGGTACATGTCAAACTTCTGGTAGCCTTTCAACTCAATGTGTCTGCTACTACGTTAGCTTTGCCTGGATAGTGATGGATCTCTACATCATAGTCTTTCATAAATTTTAGCCATCGTCGTTGCCTCATATTCAATTCCATCTGTGTAAATAGATATTTAAGACTATTGTGATCAGTGTAAATCTTGCAGGTTGTTCCATAGAGATAATAACGCCAGATCTTGAGGGCGAAGATCACTGCAGCCAATTCTATATCATGGGTTGGGTAGTTCTTCTCATGATTCTTTAGTTGACATTAGGCATACAGAATGACTTTTCCATTTTGCATAAGAACGTAACCCAGACCATTATATGAGGCATTGCTATAAATTACGAACCCATCCGTTCCCATAGAGAATGCTAGTATAGGAGCTGACACAAATCTATTTTTTAACTCTTGGAAGCAACGTTCCTATTTGTCAGTCCATTCAAAGGGTGTGTTCTTCTGAGTTAGTTGGGTTAAGGGTAATACTATCTTCGAGAAATCTTGAATGAAGTGTCAATAATAACCAGCTAAACCCAAGAAGCTTCTAATTTCAAACACGTTAGTAGGTCGTGGCCAATCCATGATTGCTACAACTTTTGAGGGGTCAATTGAGATGCCATCTTTGTTAATGACGTGACTAAGGAAGTGTACACTAGTGATTCAGAATTCTCATTTCTTTAACTTGGTATAAAGCTTGTGATCACGTAGTGTTTGCAAAACTATTCGCAAGTGTTGCTCATGGTCCTCCAGTGAATTGAAGTACATGAGAATGCCGTCAATGAAGATGATGACGAACTCATCAAGATAGGGTTTGAACACTCGGTTCAAGAGGTCCATGAAGGTCGCTGGAGCATTTGTGACACCAAAGGGCATGATGAGAAACTCGTAGTGCCCATAACGTGTTCTGAAGGCAGTCTTTTCGATGCTTTCTGTTTTAACTTTTAGTTGATGATAGCTAGAATGCAAGTTGATTTTCAAGAATACTTGGGCGCCTAGAAGTTGATCAAACAAGTTATTGATTCATGGCAGGGTGTATCGATTCTTGATAGTCACCTTGCTCAATTCTCAATAATCGATACACAATCTCATTGTTCCATCATTTTTCTTTACAAATAGTATTGGGGCTCCTAGGGCGAGGTATTAAGTCGAATGAAGCTTTTGTCCAGTAATTCGTGGAGTTGGGTCTTCAGTTTTTTCAATTCCACCATTGACATGCAATAAGGGGTTCTTGATATCGGTTGTGTACCGGTTTGAGTTTCAATAATGAATTCCACTTCTCGGTCAACTAAAGTACCAAGTAAGTCTTCAGGAAAGACGTCAGGAAATTCCTAAACTATGGGTATTGAATCAAGTGTTGGGTCTACTTGTTGAGGGTCGATTACATAACAAATACAACCACAACAACCTTTCTCAAAAGTCGTTGGGCTATCATAGAGGATATTAAACACGGAGGGGTAGAAATTCCAGTTCTTTCAAAAACAAGTTTGCACTGCTTGAGTAATCTGAGAAAGACCTTTTTGGTTGTACAGTCAATAGGGGGCACAGTTAGCAGCAAGCCAATCCATCCCTAAGATTATGTCAAAACTACTAATGCGGAGTGGAATCAGATCCACATGCAAGGTTTCTTCGTTTAGGGACATGGCACAGGACTTGTATATTTCCGTACTAAGTGCAGAAACACCAGATGGAAAAGACACAGATAATGCATATCCCAAAGGTTCAGGTATTGATGTCAATTTGAGGGTAAAGTGTGGAGAAACAAAAGAATGAGTTGATCTAGAATCAATGAGAATATGAATTGAATGACCATATATACAGAGTGTACCTGACACAAGATTCTCAACAGCATTGGGGTTTCCAAGTATTAAAGCAAAAGCTCTCCCTTGGCACTTCTGTTCCTTCCTCCCTCTTGTGGTTGTTCTTGGTTTCTGAACTGGTTCAGGGGTACCCATTACAGGGTTGGTGAGTTTCGAACAATCTTTCACCAAATGACCAACTTGGCCACATCTATAATATGCTCCTATTACCTGATAGCACGGTGTAGACACCTCATTTTTTACCGTCCCCAAAACTTCGACATCATCGTTTGAACACTCGATGGTTTGTATGCTTGTGTTCGTTTTGAGTGCCTGAAGTTTTCAGCCCAGCGTCTTGCCTTTGAGCCTCTCAACTTGTCTGTTTTGTGCTTAGTTGTGGACCAAGGGCTTGTTGCTTCAAGTCTGGAGGAGAGGGTGACCTGTCGGCCAGCCCCATGGCCTGTTGGCCATCAGTGGTGGCCGGTCGGCCACTAGTGATGGCCAACGACCATTTTTCTCCTTTTTCAAATATTTGTTTGCCAGTTATGCCAGCTGTTGTTCACTGAAGTGTATCTCCATACACGTGTATGGAGGGATGAATACAAGCTCTAAGCTTGGTTTTATATATATATGGGGCCTCTCTCCCATTTTGGAGGGCTAGACAAGTTGGAGCAAAATTCTCTCTCTCTCTCTAGAATTCTCTCTCTCTCTTCTTATTTTGTGCCTTATAGTTAGATTTTTCTACACTTTTGCACAAGGACCCTTAACCAAACATTCTCACCTTGGAGCTGAGGTTCTTTGAGGTTTAGTTTGAGCTCTTGAAGGAGGTTTGAGCTGGAATTTGTGCCTGTTTTATGCTATGCTTCAAGAGGTATAAGACTTACCTTGTAGGCTTGGTTTTAATTACTTGTTTTCCCCCTTTTTTGTACTGTTTTTTGGTCTAGTTTTCAACTACAAAAAACTCTGATTTTTTAGGCTTAACGTGATGATTTGAGGTCATTTTGTCTAAAGAGGTAGTCTACCTTTCTTGTTGCCTAATTGTGAAGCTTTTTGTGCCATTTTCCAAGGCTTTTAAATCAAACTTTTTGGGCCTTTAAACCACTGAAACTCAGAGTTATTCCAATGATGGAAAACATGTTTTGAAGTCCAAAAATGGAGGGGTTAGCCTCCCCTCCTTGTGTCTTACTTGCATGCCTAGGTAGCTTCACATAGTAGCACGGTTTTGTAGCCTAACTTAGCTTATTTCCAGCATATGTTTTCCTCTTATTTGGAATGATTTAGCTCTTTTTTGGGCTACTTTGGTCATATGAGTCTTGTTTTACATGGTTGTAGTGCAAATGGCTTCACTAGTTTGGTGTTTTAGGCCTCTAAACATAATTTGCTTGAGATGGTTTCATGTTGTAGTGTCTTTTTACATGTAATTTGAGTATATATAGCTTTGTCACATGCTCATTCATTTCACTCTTTCATTGCTTTTGAGAGTTGCTCTTGAGTCTTGTTTGCAAGCTAACATGTGAGCATATTTTTCTAGCATTTTGTACCTTAATCTCAGCATATTTTAGGCTCTATTTTGGCATGATTTAGCTTTGTTTTGGGCTGGTTAAGTCCTTTGAGGCTTGTATTGCATGGTTGTAGTGTAAATGGCTTGCTAGTTTGGTGTTTTAGGCCTTCAAGCATGAAGTGCTTGGGTTGCTTGCATGTTATAGTATTATTTTGCATGTAATCTCAGCATCATAATCTCTGTCACATTCTCATTTGTCTCACTTTCAATAGCTTTTGAGAGTTGTTTCAAGTTCGGAATCCTTTAAGCTTGAGATAGAGTTTATGCTTAATGGTTTTAATCCTCTTTTGGGGGTTTCTACTAACCAAAGGCATGACCTCCCTCTTGCCTTAAATCATCCCTTGGTTGACACTTCTTTCTCATTAGAAGACTCTCACCTTGGACTTAATAGATTAAAAGACTAATCGGTAATGTAAAATGAGTAAACGAAATGAACAAAGTAAAAGAGGCAAGATAAACATCTTTCGTGTTGCATTGCATGTGTTCGGATCGGACATTAATCCGAACACGAGAAAAATGGGACATTTCATACTCAAGTGATGAAACATGCCACTTTTCTTGGTCATCATCACTCTTGATCATGTGTGATAGGGTTGTGGTTTTCTTGAGTCTTGTTTGTGCACTCATTAAGCTTGTACAAGCTTGGTTCCTTAGCCATCATGCATTGAAAATGCTTGGTTGATGGTTTAGGAACTAAGAGTTGCACTCCTTTGAACTTGTGTAATGATAAGAAGGGTAGCAGTACATACACTCCTTGAGAATACACTGCTTTGTCTCTGTGTGCTCTCTGTTGCAGCAAAAAAGGGAAGTCCAGGAAACCAGTGGCCGACCGGCCACATGTATCAGCCGACTGGCCACCAAAAGCAGCCAACCGGCCACCAATGGTAGCTGACAGCCATCACTGGTAGCCGACTAGCCAGAAATGGATTTTGCACCAGTGTGCTCCTGAGTTGGAGTAGAGGCATTCTGGGAGTTGGCATAATTTTCAGAGATCAAACGAATGCAAACAGAGGCATCCAAAGGCAAGGCAGTGGATTTTCGGAAGGAAACCAACTGAGCATGCATGCATCCCTCGTCCTCGAGGCTATTTAATTGCTTTAATTACTTAGCGTAGCTAATTATTCAATTCAAGTGTTGTACTTAATTAGTTAGTGTAACTAGTTATTCAATTCCAATTTGTTGTAATTAATTAGCTTAGAATAAGTCAGTTGATTAGTTTCAATTGTGTTGTAATAATTAGCTAGAATAGTTAGTTAGTTTTGGTTTGTAATAATTAGCTTAGTATAGCTAGTTAGCTTATTCATGCGGACCCTCCTTCGTGAGGGCATAATGTTGTAATAAGTGTGCGTGCGTGTGTGTATGTCTTCTAACCCCACGTCTTTCTCCCTTTTATTTAATCACTTTCGATGGTTAGATTAGCGACATTTTCGATTAGCATACCTTATGCTTGTATGTTTGCATTCATTCATTTGCCTTGCACACACCGAGGCTCGACGCATCATTCAAACTACATCGTAATTTCAATATCTTCTTTGAATACGTGTTTAAAAGCATGTTATCAAAGCGTTGCAAATCAAATGCCATATTACTAGCGGAGCCTATTAATTTCATATTGCATGTGTTGCATTAGGCATCTTGTATAGTTAGGATCATGCATCTTTCTAACTAGTTTTTGTTTTGGCTTGGAGTACTCGGTAAGTCTTTATGCTTTTGCATACTTGCATGAGTGTGATTGCCATATTGCCATGTTTCGCATGCCTGCCATGAGGCTATGTGCTTAAATGCTAAACTGCATGAATGCCTGTGGATGAAGGCTTGATTGTTTGAATTGGAACGATTCAACAAATGTGAGTTTTAAGCCCACTTGAGGTGGCAAATCATGTTTTAAACTCACTTGAGGTGGCAAATCTGTAAACGTTTAAGCCAATTTGAGGGTGGCAAATTCAAACCATTTTCGCAAACAAACATGCCTTGAAATGTTCTAATTCTTGCGATTTTGGTCTATACTTGCTCGTGTGCGTCACATAGTAAAGTTAGTTAATAACCGGATAAGAGCACATGAGGTTTATAAAACAACATATCATGATTAGTAGAGGCCGATCCTTTAATCGGGCAAGCGGGGGTGCTCATTTCATGACCTTCCCCCCTCATACCCAAGTTCCCAAACCGAGGCAACTTTGGTGATGACGAACACGTGACCTTTGGCCCGAGTCAGGGTTTCCTAAATTTCTCCAAAATAAAATATTTAGGTGGCGACTTTGTAATCTGGCAAAGTAGTCCAATTTTGGAATTATTTGCTTTAAAATCGATTTTCCAAAAAGATTTGCCGGATTGGACTTTTTGGTGTTTATCAGTTTCACGTTGCACTTTGTGAGATTAGATTCAGAACCGTGACGGGAGTCTAAACTGTAGGACCAATTCGAGCTTCCGAAAGGGGGGCGCGAAAAAAGTCGAGCCACAGTTTCTGGCAACTCTACTGGGGATTTAGAGAACTTGACTCGAACTCATGATATGTTGTTTTATTTACACTTATGTGTTTCTTTGCATTTCCATTTGCATTGGTGCGCCTGAGTCACGATGTTTGCCATCTGCTATTCCTGAGCGATTTGCCCAAGGCTTGCTTGGAAAAGCATGCCATAAGGCTGATCGGTTGCGGGCTCTGCCAAAATGGGAACACAAACCTTGGATCTGGACTACCACTGTACCGTTTGATCCTCCTTTCACTTCTCGGTGTTAGGAGCGAGAGGCATATTAAGTGATCTTGCTGAGGCACCCTTTTTGACCAATCGACCTAGTTGCATATCGAAAGCCTTAGAGACTGTTCCAAGCTAGGACAGGTTGCTCACCCGAATGTAGGTTTGTTTGAAACCGCTTGTTTGTGTAGTGAACCCCTAGTTCCTGACGAAATTAGGACAGGGTAATCCTACCCCATCATAGGGGTGTTTTGGCTCTCACTTGCTTGATACGTGCTTTTAGAGTGAAACTTTGCAGGAATATATGTATCAGTTGCAAGTCTGGGTATCAGTTTGAGGGCATCGGCTTAGGGCAGAAATCAGTGTTTGAGTACAGATTGTCTAACTTATGATTACTACTGCGTGTTGTTTCTGTCTGAGCCGAGATACTGTGCGTTTTCTGATTTTTTGTTTCTTTTGCTTTATTTTTCTTTTTGCAAGATAGTGTTTCATAATTACTTCAGACGAGGCAGTTACCCCCCGAGCACGCTGGACCAGAGTAAGGCGGATTTACCGATCTAAGGATCTTATTGGAGGACAGTCAGTGTTTGTTTCGCTACCCCCAGTTACAAGACGGAGGAGAGTCATGCATCAATAACCAGTTCAGCAGTCGCCAATTCAACGGTCACTATCTACTTCACCTGTGCTCAATCGGGCCCAGTTTTCTACTTCTACCTCAAAAAGAGAGTATACACTAGTTCTGATAGATCAGCACCCCATAGACAACATGGAGGATATGATGCGCCAACTTCAACAGACCATTGAGGTAATGCAGCTAGACGCTGCCCGCCAAGCGAAAGTTACTGCCCGCCAAGCGGAAATCGCAGCCCAGCAGGCTGAGTTGATCGCTAGGCTTCAACAGC